ACGTTCGAGAAGCGCTGGCATTTGTCACATTTCTGGACAAATTGGCAAGCATCCCTTTTCAGGGTTGGCCAGAAGTAGCCCTGACGGAGAACCTTGTGTGCCAGAGCCGTCCCTCCGGAGTGATTTCCGCAGATCCCTTCATGTATTTCTCTGAGTACGTAGGTGGCCTCTTCGCCGCTCACACATTGAAGAAGGGGAGAGGCAAAGCCTCTTTTGTAAAGGGTTCCTTCTTGAAGGACGAAGTGTGCAGCCCTTCTTCTTAATTTCCTTGCTTCACTTCTGGAAGCAGGCAGCGTTTGCTCTTTTAGATATGCAATTATGGGCTGCATCCACAATGGGGTGCCTTCTATCCATAGTAACTCTTCACCTTCGAAGGTGGAGGGCTTTGATAAGTGCTCAATGGGGACGATGTTCAGAAGCTCTGAGTTCACGCTGCTGGCCAACTTTGAGAGGGCATCTGCATGGGCATTTTCTAGACGAGGGACTTGAATCAGTTCGAACTTTTCGAAATGGGGAATTATGTCCAGAACCAGCTTTAAGTACGCGAGCATGTTATCATCCTTGGCCGCGAAATCCCCATTTACCTGATTCACTACGAGCTGAGAATCACTGCTTGCCAGAAGCTTCCTGACCTGCATTTCCTTGGCGAGCCTTAGTCCTGCCAGAAGGGCCTCATACTCGGCTGCGTTGTTCGAGGCTCTGAAGCCGAATCTTACCGCACAATTCAACAAATGACCTTCCGAGCTTTCAACAAATGACCTTCCGGGCTTTCCAGCACGATTCTCGCCCCTGCGCCTGCCTCTCCTGAAGACCCATCTACAAACAATTTCCATGCGGGGGGCTCGGCTGGCTCCATCAGGGCCTCCATTTCTGGGGCTTTGGTAAATTCGACCATAAAATCGGCAAGGGCCTGGCCCTTGATAGCGTGTCTAGGTCGGAACGTGAGATCGAACTCGCTGAGCTCGATAGCCCATTTCAGTAGGCGTCCTGACGCGTCCGTCTTCTGCATTACTTGCCTTAAAGGGAAATTGGTGAGGACTTGAATTGAGTGAGCTTGGAAATATGGCCTCAGCTTTCTCGAAACTATAATAAGTGCGAGTGCCAGTTTTTCCATGTCGGAGTAGCGTGTTTCAGCTGGGAGAAGTGCTTTGCTGATGTAATATACCGGCAATTGACGCTCATTTTCTTCCCTGGTTAGGACCGCGCTGACTGCTACGTCTGACACTGCTAGATACAGCAACAGAGATTCATCCGGATGGGGTTTTGATAGGAGGGGCAATTCACCGAGGTGTTTCTTCAGAGACTCGAAGGCCTCTTGGCACTCCGAAGTCCACTGAAATTTCTTTCCTTGCTTCAATACTTTGAAGAAAGGCAAGCTTTTATCAGTGGCTCTGGATATGAAGCGGCTGAGGGCGGCTATCCGGCCATTGAGACTTTGGACCTCCTTTGGTTTCTGAGGTGAACTCATTTCTATTATAGCCGCCACCTTTGCTGGGTTTGCCTCAATTCCTCTCTGATTTACAATGTATCCCAAGAACTGGCCCGATGCCACTCCGAAAGTGCACTTGAGGGGATTCAACTTCATGTTATACCTTCTGAGTATCTGGAAGGTTTGGTCAATGTGACTCACGTGTTCGGCCGCCTGGAGGCTTTTGACCAACATGTCGTCCACGTAGACCTCCATGGTTTTGCAAATGAGTTCGGCAAACATCATGTTAACTAACCTCTGATATGTGGCCCCGGCATTTTTCAATCCGAAGGGCATGACTTTGTAGCAATACAGCCCTCTGTCCGTGATGAATGATGTAGCTTCCTCATCAGGTCGGAACATGGGTATTTGGTTGTACCCTGAGTACGCATCCATGAAACTAAGTAGTTCATGCCCAGCAGTGGAGTTGACCAGTTGATCAATTCTTGGAAGTGGGAAGCTGTCCTTGGGGCATGCCTTATTCAGGTTTGTGAAGTCCACACAGACCCTCCATTTCCCGCTGGACTTTTTCACTAGAACCGGGTTGGATATCCACCTTGGGTATATGGCCTCTCTGATGAAACCACTGCGATCGAGTTTACTTACTTCGTCTTTCAGCGCCTCGTACCGTTCTGGATTCAGCGCGCGCCTCTTCTGTCTATGGGGGGCATAGGAGGGGTTGATGTTAAGGTGATGGCAATTGATCCTGGGATCTATCCCCACCATATCCTCATGTTTCCATGCGAAGACATCTAGGTTTTCTTTCAGGAATCGTATCATCTCAATTTTTGCTTCAGGCGATAATGACTTCCCTATGCGCAAGACTTGATTGGGGTCTTCTGGATTGACTGGAAAAGTTTCCAGTTCTTCCATTGGGGTCGCATTTGGTTCATAATCAATTATTCGGGGATCTAACTCGTCAAGAGGGTGTCCTTGTTCAGGGGCCTCTTCCATTATGACATCTTCCTCTTGTCCAGAGGTATGCCCTTGTTCAGGGGCGTCGAGCATCTCCACGTCCGTACCGGCTTCAGCGGCTACTTCTGCTTGAATTACATTGACAGTCTGGGGCTCCGATTTGCGTAGTGAGTTCAGGTAGCATGCCCTGGAGCTCATCTGATCCCCTGAACCGTTGCAATCCCACGTTCGGTTGGGAATTTCATGCACAGATAGTAAATGGACGTCACAGCCCAAAGATCTTTTAGAGCCGGTCTGCCCAACACCCCATGATAAGCCGACCTATGATCTACCACCAGAAATTCCATGAAATGCTGGGCGACCAGGGGGGCCGAACCCATTTCCACAGGCAGGGTAATCCGCCCTCGTGGGATGATGCTGTCCCCAGTGAATCCGAACAGCGGGTCGGTCATGGGGATTAACCCATGTTCAATTTGCATTTTGTCAAAAGTGGAGCCAAACAATATGTTCACGGAGCTGTCGTTGTCAACGAGCGTGCGTTTTAATCAGTTTCTAGCCACTACGACCCTTACAACCAGAGCATCGCAATGGGGATGGTGAACTCCCTCTGCGTCTTCCTGCGAGAAGGTGATTGGGGCCATCTTGTTCGCTGTTTTTGATTTGTCGACAATGTAGGTGATCATCGGGGGATCCTTAGCTTCTCTTGTATAATTTCTCTGGGCGTTCCTGGTGTTGCCACCGACGTGGGGTCCCCCGATGATGGTATCGATTTCCCTGATGACCTGGCTTCCAGCGAATTGAGCTTGGTTCTCTTTCCTGGATTGGCCTCGGTTTCTTGATTCTCTTCTGCTAGGAGGTTGTTCCTGGTGACCCCTTCCTTCCCTCCTCGGGGAGGTGGATCTGCGGGGGTGCTCATTTCTACTGGAAGTGAGGGGGTTGCTTCGATCAGGGCGCCGGTTGACATCCCGACACTCACTGGTGTCATGTCCATATAGTTGATGGAAAGTACAAAATCTTGCTCCTGGCAAGGGCCTGTTTGGCCTCTTCTTCTTGTTGTTGTTGTTGTCAGTTCTTCCGGATGGTGCTGCCTCAGTGGGTGCGCTATCATATGCCAACACCGGCACTGCGTTCAATGTGGCGGAAGCTAGGGCCTGTCCGGATGTGGGAGCTATGGTATGCCCTGCTTGGGTCCATTGCTGAGTAACAAGGTGTGCTGCGGGGCCTCGACCTACCTGCCTCTGTGGGGGAGGGAGTCCCTGCGCGGCACGGTTACGATGATCAATCATTTCTTCACTAATTATTTCCACCCTCATCATCTCCACCAGCTCGTCGTACGTGGAGGGATTCTTGCTGCGCACGTCCCTCCAAAATAAAGTGTTCATGTTGAGACCACCTTTCAGGGCCGAAAGGGCTTCCCTGTCAGTGACCTGTTCGCAGTAAGTAATCTCGTCTGTAAACCTGGCGAGATAGCTTTTCAGCGTCTCTCCAGGGGCCTGCCTCATGTCTTGCAGGCGTTGGATCGGCGCCTCTCCTTCCCTGCGTGAGAGGTACTGGTTCAAAAATGCTTTCTTCAAATCCGGCCAACTTCTGATGCTTAGGGGAGGAAGCCTGCTGTACCACACCTCGGCGGCTCTGCCTAGTGTTAAATGGAAGGCTCTGCACTTTAGAGCAGGTGAGGCTCCCCTAAGACTCATTTGCGTCATATACTTTGTGAGGTGCTTCTCCGGATCCCCTTTTCCCTCGTACTTGGGGATCTTTGGGGGCATGAAATTAGTTGGCATTGGGAAGCTTCGGATTTCCCTTGAGAAAGGGAGGTTATCGTCATCGTCGTCAATCTCGTAAGATCGGCAGGGCCCCTCTGATCCTTGGTCATCTTGGACGTCTTGGGATGGAGGAGGTGCTTTCCCCCGGCTACCCCAATCGACTAAGTTTCTCCTCTCCTTCCTGTTTCTAGGAGGAGGGACATACTCCTCTTCATTGTCTGACCGGGCCGACCCTCTTGAAGGGCGGATCCTATTGCTAGGATCGTTCCCTATCCGATCGAAGACGCTTACTGACGTCTGGTCATTATGTTGAGGAAAGTTGTCCCCCAAGGGTGGTTCTGATGGGTGGCTCTCCTGCATATAAGATGTCGCTTCGGTGTTACCCTCTCTTTCGAGAGGACATTCGGTGTGCCGGCTCGTGTGGCCTCGAGAATGAGACAAAGGGATTTCTCGTACCGGATGCGATCCTTGGGGCATCTGGTGTCCCTGAGCTTGCATGAGAAGTTCCCGCATCGCCATATTCTGAGCTGCTATGTCTCTCATGCCTGCAGCTATCTGGGCCATTCCTTCGGTGAGTACGGCTGTTCTTTCACCTCGTCGACGCCGGTGATGCGGTCTCTGATGAGTAACATTGTTATGAAGTACCTCCTCTTCAGAGGCCTCTCTGATGGGGTTGTCTTCACGGCTGTAGCTCATCCTCCCTCTTCTTTCAAGGATAGTAAGAACTTGGATTGTAACTCGACTTTTATTCTTTTTCAAGAATGCCTCCCTTTTCAGGGTCAGTCGCCGATTTTCCGGTGGCTTCTCCGACGGGGAATGTAGGACTTTGAATGGGGAATGACGTTTCCCACAGACGGCGCCAAACTGTTGACCTCTAAAAATGGCTCTTCCACGTGGCCAACTTGTAGCTACTCCACGTATTCCTCCCTACGAAATGAACAAACTGTCAGGCGCACACGGCCGGAACCGACGGGGGTGGCGGCCGTATACACTCCGACGGTCAAGTCAGGTTTGGGTGGTCGGAACAGTGTCCATGGACTACACAAATCAATCAGTCAATAAAGGGGGAGGAGAATATATAAACTTGTTATGGAGTGCTATCTATTGAGAGTTTCATTACCTTTGCCTCTGGCCAATCTTTGGGTATTTATAGGTGGTATGAACCGTGGGATGTGGAACACGTGTATACATCTGACGGTATGAAGCGTCTGCTCATAGGCGTCAATCAGCCGCGCTTGTAGAGTGGGCGGACAGTTTGTTTCCCCCGAGTTGAATTGACATAAAGTTGATAAGTCACATCAAATAGCTTTATGGGGGACGTCAAATCAATTTAAACCTTATATGAAGAGCAAATCTTAAATTGGCAGCGAATCTTCTAACAGGGGTCCACTTGAACCCGACCTCAGAGGCGGGACACTTCGGCAGATTAGTGACAGAATCGGTGTATCACTTTGGAGAAGCTTCGGGAGGTCGGAGTGATCTATTTGATTTCACCGGCTTCTGAGTGGTGGGATGACACTTCGGTTACTTCGGTACCGAGGCTCGTAAAATGAGGCGTAACAATTAATACTTGAGTTATATGATAGACAAGATTAAGTTTTATAGGCTCTACATGTGATATTGCAATTTTTTAAGATACTTTTGGGATCAAAGAGTCATTGACAAATTACCAACAATAGTAAATAAAGATTTAATTTTATTTTATTTTCCTCTTTTCCTAGTTATATAGTTTCTAATTTTCTATACTTCATATTCTTGGGAAATAATGGTGTTGGAGGTCTGGATCATTCATTCTTGTGAATTAATCAAGTTTTCAATTGGAAAAGAGACATTCGACTTTAACGTTTAAATTATATAAGAATTTATCTCATGTTACGAGAAAATTCTACATGTTTTTCAATTTATTGTCCTTTAAAAAGAACTAATTTACATTTTCGTTATACTAAGTATACTTGTGCAACTTAGTTTTAGTGAAATGAATCTTTCAAATATATATGTATCGAATCAAACAAGAAATTGCATATTTAACTTTACGAAGCTAGATTTACTTCTTAATTTAAATTTATCAAAAGATATAAAGGGGAAAAAAAATCGTCAAGGCCACTTTTAATTTAATGAAGATTTGTACAATATATATCATTGAAGATGCTATAATAATGAAATATTACGGACCAACTAGCTTCTTTTAAAAGTTAAAGGCAACCTTGAGATCGAAAGTTGAAACAATAGAATTTAATTTGATATTTCAATTTTTTTACACTATTTTTCAATAGCCAAAATCTAATATATTTTTTACGTACAACACTAATTTTTTGTCGTTTTGAGATATTAATATCTAAAATAAAAGCACAAATAAACTAATAATCTTAACAAAGAAGCTTCAAACAAAGATGGAAAGGAAAGGAAAAGGTGATGGTTTGGAATTAAGCCCTTAAAACGAATCCAAGCTTTTACTTTCTTCTCTGTTTTTTATGCTTTCTTTACTGGAAAATTGCAGTAGTGGTACCAAACCTTTCGTTTATTAGTAGACTTAGCCCAAACCTTTAGTTTGTGTCACCGTGAGTACCAAACCTTTAAAAAACTTGCACCTAAAGTCCAAATGGATGGTTTCTATTAATTTGACCGTTAGTTGACCCAATAAATTGACTTTGACCAATTTTAAAAGGGGTAAAATTGTAACTTTGAATTAAACTTAAAAACAAAAACAAAAACAAAAAACAAAACAAAAATCAAAAAACAAAAAATCAAAAGCCATAACTGTTCATCTTCTCTTTCCCATCCCCACCCTCACCCTCACCCTCACCCTCACCCTCACCCTTTCTCCCCATACAACACCACTGTGGAGACACGGTAAGGCTGAAATCCCCGATGGTAACTAAACATTGGCAAAACTTTACTTGCATCGAAGGTAAGCTAGTTCTTCCTACTGTTGCGGCCATCCATACTACTGGTTCTTCCTACTGTTGTGGTTCTTCCTACGATTGCAACCACTTCAAATTTACAATCTCGAGTTACTGTTGCGGCCATCCATACTGCTGGTTCCGATTACTGCCCGCAGCATTCGGGCCACAACTACCAGCTCCATATTGTCCACTTAGGGGATAATTTGGAGCTCCATATCCACCAGCAGCTCCTCGCGAACTATTTGAAGGACCTAGTGTTCCTCAACCTTGAGGTGGATATTGTCCACTATTATTGTAGGCATATAAAAAATAATAAAATAAAATGGATTGAGTCAATTTAAATCATTAGCCCAATTAAATTTAAATCTACTAAAGTCCATAAAACCCAAAAGTCCATACCAAATTTTAAATAAATAAATAAACAAATAAAATAAACAAACAAAATAAATAAAATTATAATTACTCAATTATCTCTTTTAATTAAATATAATTGAGTAATTACCAAAATTAGTCTAAATCCTCCCCTATAAATAAGACCAATGATCCATAAGACTTGACACATAGAAAGCAAGCAAGAAAGAAAGCAGAGAACGCCACGAAGTGCTGAAAAAATCTCGAGGATGAAAGAAGGGAAGAAATTCTGTCAAGTTTTAGCTCGGTGAATCCCAAGAAGGTTAAAATCTTCTTCGAATCAAACAGGTTCACGTCAATTCCAAGAAGACCAAAGTCTTCTTCAAATTAAATCAAATTCAAGTCCAAATCCAAGTCCAAGCCTCAAGATTCAAGTTTCAAACAAATCAATTCTCGACAAATCAAATTTTCAACAAATTATTGAAGACCAGGATTCAAGGCACATGGCTCCTCGTCTTCAAATAATCAGATCATTAATCAGAGGATTTTGCAATTTTGTAATTACAAGAAGGTCGACATCATTTGTATTTATCAAAATACAATTTGTAACGATTTCTGTATTTTAATACACGAAATTTCGCACTACAAATTTCTTGGCATGCCCAGTGGGACTTTCTTGTCCTCTCATCTTTTGATCTCAAAATCTTCAAATTTCAAATACTACATCAGCAATGGCAAGCAAAAAGGCAAAACAAACTATGACTCATCTCGAAGAGACACTTGCTGAACTCTTCCACGCGACCAGGGTCCAAACAAAAACTGGGAAAACTCAATTGGTCACACCACTAAAGAAATTCTCCAACAAAAACAGAATGAAAATCGCCTTCAAAAAGCCAAACTCTCATTCAACACAAAAAACCATGAGTTCGACGAAAAACTCTCGTTTAGGATCCATCTCCAGTGGTAGATCCTTATCTGGATCCCCTCATGCTACTTCTCAACAAAAGTGGGAAGATGATACTTCATCTGAAGAGTCACTTGAACCAGTGATGGTTTCAAAAGCAGCATCGGGCTCAAATGATCGAATCCAACAAATGGCTCTAGCTATTGAAAAATTATCAAAGTCGTTAGAAGAAAAAAATGCCCAAATTGCCGCACTCATGCATAAGCTAGAGTCGCAAAATCCACCGGTTAAAGAAGATCAGGAAAATTTAGGATCTTCCAAGGCCAAAGAGTTAGAAGTCCAAGAGCATCAACAGAAGCAAGATATACATGATCGAACAATTGTTCAAAATGTGTTGCGTGATGCCACTCAACTCTCCGTTGGCTCTCTATCCATCCAACAACTTCAACATATGATTACGGACACCGTTAGTGCTCAATATGGTGGTTCGTTGCAATCTTCATTGGTGTATGCCAAACCCTATAGTCGTCGAATCGATGAAATAAGGATGCCACTTGGTTACCAACCTCCGAAGTTTCAATGTTTTGACAGAAAGGGCAACCCAAAGCAATATGTTACTCATTTTATTGAGACGTGTAACAATGCAGGTACTTATAATGACACAATGGTGAAGTAGTTCGTATGCTCCCTCAAAGGTTTTGCATTTGAATGGTACACAGGCTTACCGGCAGGGTCAATTGATAATTGGGATCAACTCGAGTGAGAGTTCTTAACACACTTCTACAGCACCCGAGGAACTGTCAGCCTTCCAGAACTCACTCAAACAAAACAGAGCAAGGAAGAGCCTGTAGTAGAGTACATTGAACGCTGGAGAAACCTTGTCCTTAATTGTAAAGAACGAATAAGTGAAGCGTCTTCCATCGACATGTGTGTACAAGACATGCATTGGGGATTACTCTATAATCTCCAAGCAAACATGCCTCACTCATTCGAAGAATTGGTAAGACGTGCTCATGACCTAAAGCTCCAAATTGCAAGGCATGAGAGTTATTTACCAAGTGACAAGAAAGATCCTAAGAAGGATATAAAGAAGGATGTCAAGACAAGTAAATCCAAAGAGGCTATGGCGATTTCTACTGTTCCTGCAAAGATAGCCTTCCAAGGGTCGAGCTTGAACTCGAAACCGAAGCTAGAGTTCAAACCTAACAAAGGACAAGTCCAAAGCAGAAGTCATGTGACTCTAAAGGAACTTGAAGGAAGGGAGTGCCCATTTTCAGATTCAGAAGTTTCTGGAATTCTGGATCAACTCCTTGAACAGAAAATAATAGAACTTCTAGTACCAAAAAGACCTAAGGAGGCTAGTAAGATCAATCATCCTAAATACTGTAAATTTCATAGGATCATTAGCCATCCAGTGGAAAAACGCTTTGTTTTGAAAGATCTTATTGTTCGCTTGGACAAAGAAAATAAGATCAAACTTGAGACCGGAGAGAATCCAACAGCCGTATGCTCGATGGTTTCATTTGGATCATTTGATCCAATTCCCATTCCAGGAAAGAAACAAACATTCTCTGATGCACACAATGCCTGTAAATCCTCCGTTGAGTAATTTGGACCTCAACTTTCGGAAGGAACCATCCCAGTGAAATTTGAGGTAGACGGAGAAATCACCATCAGTTATATCTATCCAGGGATGAATGGACCAAGCGTACCCATCACCCAACCTTTTACGAAATTATGACAGGTGACTTGGATGTTTGGGATTTCGACTCAGAATTAGAAGACGAGATCGGTGACGGCTGGTCTACTTTCATAAAGAAGAAAGAGAAATACAGAATGCCAAACAAAATAGGTAAAATATTACCTTCTACGCCTCTTGCAGGAACAAAACTGGAGGAATTGGGTACGAAAATTCAACCCAATGAAGAAGAAACACTAGAAGAAGATTAGGGGGCATGGACCCTAGTGAAAAGACATCGTCGGAAGGCTCCACGACTCCCAATTTCTAACTTTTGTGATAAGAAATCAAGATCGAGGAACAATCAAAGAAGGAGGCCTGAAGCCAAGCCAAGAGTATCTACTAAATCAACCAAAGAGAGAGTACTCCACGCGTTCTTCCTGGACTACCGACCTTGGGTGATTACTTTCCTAAGGGTTTCTTTGATAAAGAATGTCTAACCTCCAACATAATCAATGTGGAGGAGAAAGATGAAATGAAGAACGTATCAAGGCATACTTCAAAACAGAAGAAAAGTATTTCATGACTCAATAATATTCCTGCCAATACAAGTCTAGCAGAGTCTCTTGGCCTTCCCTTCGATGGTCGGATGGCCTCGGTCGCAGCATTAATCGATCTGGAAGAATATGAAGGCAAAGCTTTAGAACATATTAGAGCCACAAGTCATCAAGACTGTATGGCCGCCATAACATTCGACGATGGAGATTTACAGCTGGGTTCACGTCCACATAATAGACCACTGTATGTTAGCGGTTATATTCGAGAGTGCAAGATAAATCGTATAATGATCGATTGTGGATCTGCTGTAAATATTATGCCAATCAAAATAATGAAGAAAATTGGAATCAATGTTGGTAATCTATCCAGAAGCAAAATCATGATTCAAGGATTTAATCAAAAAGGTCAGTGAGCCATTGGCATGATTCGTCTAAAGCTGCAAATAGGAGAGTTAATCTCCTCAGCTCTTTTCCATGTCATTGATGCTAAAACATCATACGAGTTACTCCTTGGACGTGTTTGGCTACACGAAACTGGAGTGGTACCTTCGACTTAGCACCATTGCTTCAAATATAGCTGAGATGGAGAAGTTAAATGTGTGGCAGCTGAGTCGAAACCTTTTCTTGAAGAAGAATCTCATTTTGCCGATGCCAAGTTTTACATGGAAGGTGAAGAATGTAATTCTTCAAGGTTGACCATATCTGGATTCAAAATTAAAGAAGATACAAACAATCATGATACATGTAGTGCTGCTCAATCTCATCAACTTATCAAAAATAAGTCAAGATTTACTAAAGGCAAAAAACCTCAAGTAGAATCAACCGATATTTAGGTATTGAGAAAAGAGTTAACACTTCCAATACCTAGTATCCCAAAATTGCTTCTGCCCCCACCAAATTATGGTGGGCCCGAAAGAATACAAATCTACATCAGAGGCTTCAACATCTGTTCCCAACATATTAAAACTTTATATTTCCAACTCGTCCAAACAAGAAGGAGCTGCTGAATCAAAACAAACTTTCAAAGGATGTTACAATCTTCAAGTTAAAAAGTTGTTCGAAAATGCTGGGTTTGGAAAAGGAGAGCCTCGTAAATTAGGTGATCTTGATGCTGTCCTTTCAGAAGGGCGTCCCCCTTGTAATTTCGACGGACCCTTAGTGTCCTGACCTAGGTATGGTTTGGGATATGATCCCAATACACCGAGAAAGATTAAGGTCAAGAAGGTTTCCTCAAACCCAATCATGATTCAAATTTATGAAGTTGCAGAAGAGAAATCTGAACAGTCGAAACCTTTAGTGTTCGATCGAATTGAAAATGAGAATGCGAAAGTTTTGGAGTTTAAAAGGTTAAAAGGAGAACCCTCCCCAATGGTCGATGTAAAAGGTAAAGCTTCTGTCTTCTAGGGATGGCAATTTGAACAGTCAAAACCGAAAATCTTTGTTAACCAAACCGATGGTACAATGGGGCGGATATGATTTTTATTTTAATGAACCGGTTCTTGGCGATGCGGGTATGGTATTTACGTCGTCGAACCGAAACCGAACCGATTACCCGCTAAAAAAAAATTAAATTGATTATTAGGCTTTGCACTAATTTTCCATCTAGCCCAAAACAAAATCCCCCCCCAAGTACATCTACATGACTCAGTCGGCCAACTCACTTATCGTTAGCCCATAATAATAGCATTAGTATGACATTATATAAATGCAAACCCTACTCTCCACAAACCACAAACTCACGCACGGCTCATTTTATTGTTAATTTTTTCTATTATGTGTAGAAAATTCTACTTTTTCATCATACTCTAGAGCTTGCGCAACATTTAACGAGAAACAAGCTGACGAAAAGATACTTTTTTTATTTAAATTTTAGTTAAAACCATTCTAGAATATGTAGTATCGTTGTATTCTTTACTTACATTTCTTATTTACTATATAGGAATCAACTTTGAGTGTTGATCTATGCTAGTAAGATTTGTGGGGAAGAATGAATCAAGTAATTTCGATGCACAATAATTAAGAATGAAGGAAAAGTTTAGTATTGTTATATTTAATAGATTGTTGGTTAAATTTGTATTTTACAATTGAAAATTGGGATAATATTTGCTTTTTCGTTTGAAATATTGTTTGATAATGTTTGCATTTTTGTTTAAAATATTGTGTTTTTGTTTTCATTGACTTTTTTCATAAATTGTTTTATATCAATTTGATGGATGAACCTATAAAAAATAATTTATTTTCGTGGTTATTAACCGAACTGAATCATGTCGAACCGAGATAATAACCGAACTGAACCGAATCGATTTACGTGTTTATGGTGCGGTTATGGTATGGTCAAAAAATTGGTGATGCTGTTATGATTTTGATCGAACCGACCCATAACCAAACCGTTGCCAACCCTACTGTCTTCCAAAGATTAAGCGAAGATTCTTCTTCTTCTACCTAAATCGATAGGAATGCACAAGCTCCCCAAATATCATCCCAAAGACAATCTGCATTTTCTTGACTTGGGATTAAAACTTCTGATCCAAGCCTAAAGCCACAATAGTCAAGAAGAAGACGAAGACAGCAAAAAGTTCGTCTGTCCCTAAAGGAGAGGGAAGAAAAAGAAGAAGTCTCTATCAATCACATAGCCTTTGAGGAAGCTCCCTATTCAAACTCCGAGTTCGAAAGTTCTGTCACAACTGATGAACCTGAACCTGCCCCACCTACTTTTGAAGAAGGGGGATAAGCTACTGTGGATGACTTGAAACAATTGAACCTGGGGACCGAAGAAGACCCAAAACCAGTATTTGTAAGTGCCCTTCTCAGTCAAAAGGAAGAATCTGAGTACATTAGTATGCTTCACGAATACAAAGACGTGTTTGCATGGTCTTACAAAGAAATGTCGGGGTTAAATCCTAAGATTGCAGTGCATCATCTTGCAGTAAGACATGGAGTTCGACCGGTCAAACAACCTCAAAGAAGATTTCGACCATAACTGATTCCTTAAATTGAAATGGAAGTCAATAAACTTATTGAAACTGGATTTATACGTGAAGTGAAATATCCAACATGAATCGCAAACATTGTTCCTGTTAAAAAGAAGAACGGGCAACTACGAATTTACGTTGACTTTCGGGATCTAAATCAAGCATGTCCGAAAGATGATTTTCCACTTCCAATAACAGAGTTGATGGTGGATGCAACTACCGGATATGAAGTCTTATCTTTCATGGACAGGTTTTCCAGATACAACCAGATACGGATGAACCCAAAAGATGAGGAACTCACATCATTTCGTAACCCTAAAGGCATATATTGTTACAAAGTTATGCCTTTTGGATTAAAAAATGCGGGGGCAACCTACCAGCGGGCAATGCAAAAGATTTTCGATGATATTTTACATAAGAACATTGAATGTTATGTGGATGATCTTGTTGTTAAAACAAAAAGACGTGACGGTCATTTACAAGATTTACGAGATGTTTTCAAAAAACTTCGAAAACATCAATTAAAGATGAATCCGTTGAAATGTGCATATGGCGTCACCTCTAGAAAATTTCTCTGCTTCGTTGTTCGACACCGGGGCATTGAAATAGATCAATCAAAAATTAAAGCTATAATCAACATGCCAGAGCCAAGAAATGTACATAAGTTGAAAAGTCTTCAAGGAAAACTTGCATACATTCGAAGATTTATCTCTAATCTAGCCAGACGTTGTCATCCATTCAACAAATTGGTGAAGAAAGATGTACCATTTGAATTGGATGACGCTTGTCAAAATACTTTCCAAAGCATTAAACAATATTTATCTCGTCCACCAGTACTCACAGCTCCAGTTCTAGGGAAGTCGTTGACTCTTTATGTTGCAGCACAAGAATGTTCTCTAGAGGCACTTCTTGCCCAAGTTAACGAAGAAGGAAAAGAGAATGCACTCTATTACTTGAGCCGGACACTGGTAGGCGCTGAAATGAAGTATTCGACTATTGAAAAAATATGCCTCACGTTAATCTTCGCAGCTAAAAAGTTGAGGCATTATATGCTATCACACACAATCAATCTTGTTTCAAAGATTGATCCATTGAAGTACATAATGTCCATGCCGATTCTTTCTGGAAGGATTGGAAAATAGGCATTACTGTTGTCTGAGTTTGACATCAAATTCATTCCACAAAAGGCCATTAAAGGACAAGCTTTGGCGAATTTCCTTGTTGACCACCCAATTCCAGCAGAATGGGAACTTCAAGAAGACCTTCCCGATGAAGAAGTTCTATTCACCGAAATCATACCATCATGGAGGCTATACTTCGACGGGGCAGCCCGAAGTTATGGTACCGGAACAGGAGTGGTCTTTATCACTCCTCATGATCTCGTCATAACCTACTCATTTGCTTTAACAGAGAAATGTTCGAATAATGTGGCGGAATATCAAGCTCTTATCATCGGCTTAGAGACAGCTTTGGATATGGATATTCACCAGCTGGAAGTCTTTGGGGATTCTAAATTGATAATCAACCAACTTTTAGCTGAATATGAAGTCCGTAATTTAGACTTGAAGCCATATTATGAACATGCGGCAATACTTATGAGACGATTTGTTTCGATAAAAATCAAATTCGTCCCAAGAAGTGAAAATAAGGAAGCTGATGCCTTAGCTAATTTGGCTGCTGTTTTAGCTAGATCAGATGAAGAATTTTCCCACTCCATATCAATTGCTCAAAGATGGGTGCTTCCGTCATTGCTACCTAGTAATTTGGAAGAAAACAATAGTGTCGAAGTAGTCGAAGATGAGGAAAGAGAAGATTGGAGACAACCAATAATCGATTTCCTTCAACATCAAAAGCTACAAGATAATCCATGGCAAAAAATAGAAATCAAGAGGCGTGCCTCTCGCTTTATCTTTTATAAGGGAACACTTTATCGACGATCATTTGATGGAGTTTTCCTTCGATGCCTAAGTAATGATGAAGCAACGCTGGTCGTGGAAGAAGCCCTCTCTGGAATTTGTGGTGCCCACCAGTCTGGACCCAAACTCCATTTTCGAATAAAGAGGATGGGATATTACTGGCCAACTATGGTACAAGACTCCATAGATTATGCGAGAAAATGTTAAGCTTGCCAAATCCATACAAATTTCATCCATCAACCTCCAGAACCATTACATCCAACAATAGCTTCATGGTCATTTGATGCATGGGGTCTTGATGTAATTGGACCTATAACTCCAAAGTCTTCAGCAGGGCATGCATACATCTTCGTCGGGACCGACTACTTCTCTAAGTGGGCCGAAACCATACCATTGAAGGAAGTAAAGAAAGAAAATGTCGCAGATTTCATTCGTATCCAAATCATTTATCGATATGGTGTCCCGCGACATATCATAACTAATAATGGCAAGCCATTTTGTAATAGCCACATAAACAATTTATGTGCAAAGTTTGGATTCAAACAGTACAACTCGTCCATATACAATGCGGTAGCTAACGGATTGGCAGAGGCATTCAACAAAACACTATGCAGTCTGCTAAAAAAGGTTGTCTCCAAATCAAAAAGAGATTGGCATGAGAAAATCGGTGAAATCTTATGGGCTTATCGAACTACTTATCGGACTCCAACACAAGCCACTCCTTATGCCTTAGTATATGGGGTGGAAGCTATCCTTCCCTTAGAGTGTCGAATTTTGTCACTTCGAATTGCTATCCAAGAAGGTTTGACAACTGAAGAAAATGCCCGTCTTCGATTCGAAAAGCTAGAAGCTTTGGATGAAAAAAGGTTAGAAGCACAAATGCACCTAGAGTGCTATCAATCTCGAATGGCCAAATCTTTCAACAAAAAGGTGCGACCAAGATCATTTCAAGTTGGAGATCTGGTACTTTCCATGCGCAGGCCAATCATAATCACAAGAAAAACAGGGGGCAAATTCCAGCTTAAGTGGGATGGTCCATTTCTTGTTACTCATACATTCACTAACGGAGTGTACAAGATTGTTGACAAAGATGGACTGCAAATCGGACCTATCAACGGAAAATTTTTAAAGCGTTTTTATGTTTGAAGTTCTTTATTTTTAAGTTTTTCATTTTTGGTCATCCCAGTGAGTAGAGCTCCCGCATCAATCAAAAATTATTCCCCCTGTCATGTTGTCTCTTCTGCTCCTTCCAAGTCTCACCTTTTTTCCAGGGGCTTTTACTCCCTTTCGGTCGAGGTAGACCTTCGAAACCCTCTGACCAGTAGGGTGGTACAAAAAAAATTGTGTTCTTGTAATGAACTACGTTCAACTTGATCCCGTTTGGGTACATAGGCAGCTTGAATAAATTATAAATTCAAGTTCAATCACATCTAATAATTTCATTCAATTTGTTTATCAATTGCTGTAAAAAAAACACAAGAAACATGAAAAAGAAAAGTTCAACCAAATAAAAATAGTAAGTCAAAATTCAAACAATATGGTCTTAAAAAAAAAGATCAAAAATTCATGACTTCATCAGGATCACTCACCATTGATCACTCGCAGGAAACTATCTTCAAGGGTCTTCCTTTTCTGGTCAATGGATGCTATGCTAGCGACATCTCTTGTCTGTGCTTCTTCCAATGCTGCCTTTTTGGTTCCAATCATACTTTTGTCTTCCTCTTGGGCTTGAAGTTCATTACGAAGTCTATCTAGCTCAAAGGTTAGCTCACTAATTTTGCCTCTCGACAATGAACACATGGAATCCTTTACTTCCAGCTGAATCTTCAACAGTTTCAACTCCTCCGCCTTTTCTTCAATGGTTGGACAATCCAAGTGCTGCTTTCTTTCAGACAAGTAAGAGTCAATTTTTTCAAAAACACATCCATGCGTTTCATCAAAGGTGATGGGTCTGCGTGGAATGAGTTGGTAATCACATTCTGAAAAATTAAATTATTTTCATCCCACCAAGATCGAATATTGGAGAATCCATACTTTAAGACATCCTTAAAACATTTCTGGAGGTAATTATTCATAGCTTCTTGCAAAGCAGCCTTCAGATAAGGAGACTCTTGGGTAATTCCCGTTGGAGGACCAGACATGAAAGAACAGATTGGTGTAGTCCGATGATTTGTGAAGGCAGAATACTGACTAAAGCCAACGAAGATGGAACGACGAGAATTCCTTGATTGATCTCTGAAATGTTAGCTCTCACAGTCCCTGAATTTACTTCATCTTCAGAATTAAAATTGTCCATGATATGCACCAAAGTACCTCCATTGATGGTGCCTGGATATTTGCAAAGAAGGTCATGAGAATCATGAATACCATCTATTCCTTGAAGTGCATCGATTCGCCCATCATTCTCGCCAGTCTGATCTTGCAAAAAGTTTGGATTCATGGAGAAATTTAGTTCTTCAGGGATGCTCGGAAAACTTACAGGAAATGGAGCATGGTTTCAAAAAAAAAGTGCAGGAAACAACAACAGGGCACATACTTGCGTTTCGTGTCCCGGGCGACATGTCTAAAAATCCACCATCTGATGATGTGTTCGGGAGGCTAAGGTTAATGTGAGAAGCTCCAACTTCACCTTTTGAAAGACTCAGAATAGCTTGAACCGCCTCGGTTCTATTGGTCGTTTAATTTTGTATATTCGAGAAAGATGAACCTGAAATTGAAGATTGTGGCAAAAAATCAGATACAAAAAGTACATAAAATAAAAAAAGGGAGAACTATACCTGATCTCCAGAACTTTCATCTTCTAGAGTCAAAGTCTTTCCTGGTGCTTATGATGCTCGATCTGCAAGACTACTGTGATCTGGAATCGAAATTGCTTCTAGCACCTTATTAGGAGGCTCAGAGGTGGCAACAAACTTTGCCGAGGGAACTATAATTTTGATTCTCTTAATACCTCTTTCATTTTGCTGGTTTAGATCTCTCTTTCGAGAAGCCTCTTCAGGAGTAGCATTTGGAGGCTAGCTAAAACCTTGTTCGGAGTCAAGCCAAGAACAAAGTCATGGCTCTCACTAGAAAATAAGACTTGCACCTGGACCTTGGTCAAGAGTGGTAATACTTTGCTATTCCACCAAACCTGCTATTCAACATCAATGTTTTGATGTATATCCCTCACATACTCTGGAATATGAAATACAGACCCACTTTTTTATCTGGGTTAGGGACAACCAAACTTGATACATATCGCCTACACTGGGGGCAATATTCAACTTTCTTGGTGAACCGGGAAGTTTCTATCTAAAGTCAAACTGTCTCGCAAACCTGTGAGGATTATTCGCCTCAAGAATGAAAGGTAAATTTCCTCGATGATAAGAGACAAATTCAGGTTGAATACTCATCATGAATTCTGAAGTATCTGCAAATCTCGGTTGGTCATCTACACGTACATCAGGATGAGACGATGAGGATAATGGATTCCAGCAAAAGTTATCGGTATTCATTGCTCCACGGATAAATTCCCAACAATCAACGACATTTTTCTCCCAAGATTGAAAAGCATTCAGAGTTTCGGCATATCTTCGAATTATAGTGTGAGAATAACTCTTGTCTACATGAGCATAAACACCTCGAACAAAATAAGTTGCTGCCCAAACATAAAGAAAATATCCAGGAAATGAATGTGAAATTGAGCCAAGGTCTGGATTTGCCTGATAGTTAGATGTTCGTGTAAGTCCACTATAAATGCTCGCCAATATAGGAGGAACTAGACTATAAGTGTATCCGCCTGCCATTCTAGAAGATGCTTTAAAAGTCCCGACTCTTATACTTTCATCCCCAAATGGAAGAACGAAGCGACAAAACCATAGGGAGAGATAGGCTGCTATCTCTAATTCCTCTTATTCTTCCATAGACAGGGACACTGGAAAATTGCCCCAATCCGTCGATCCCTATGAGTAATGTCTCTCGGCTTGTCTGTCACCACGGGCCTCCGTATTTCCTTCGATGTTCTTTGATGGTGCCTTTTGAATGGATTTAAATTCATAGCATTCTTATAATTTTTGTGTTGTCGATGGTTCGGGACACAACCATTTTTATGAAACCAAAAATTAATCTACTGTTCGTGAGTAACTCTGTCGGATTCATTCGCATGGGCAATCAATGTGAAAACATTAAAGAGATACAAACAAGACTTGGAAAGATGATCCATCAACTCTGAAAGGCTTGGGACTACTTCCTCATAATAATGACCCATGATCGAAAGTCCACTTATCTCGCGGATGTCCCAAAGAGAAATGCCAATTTCACCATTGGCAGTCACAAAGGTATTGGTTTCTGGACACAAAACCTCACAAAGAGCTCTGTAAATGAGGTTTGGGCGATGGTAATCTTTTGCAGCAGAACCGACTGCAAAAGCTAACTCGCGGAGATTCCTCTTTAGCAGAAGTTTCTGGATCCACAGAGACCACTCCCAAAATTTTGGAAGAAAAGAAATCTCTCCTGGACTTACCAGTGCGCTTTCCCATCGTATTTCTCTATTATCAATTTTCTCACAAATCACAGCCCTTGGGATGTACTCCATGCTCTGGGAATGATGAGGTGGAAGACACAAAAAGGAAAGATGACTGCTAGAGCGATTGAACTTGCCAGTATCCAAACTCTCGTGACATTCACTAATGATGGATATATGCAACTTCGACAATGGCTCCAGAAGGTCGGGGGAAGGATTTGTCGTTGGCTTATGGACACTAAATTTAAGTTCACCTCGTACGCCAGTCTGGGCATGGTACTTCACATCAATATCTTTGAAACGCAGATAACTTTTACCTTGATTTTTAAGCTCAACAATTTCGTGCATGTCAGAGCACACTTTATCATCAGAATTTGTTCCAATCATGCCTAAAAAAATAAAAAATAAAAAAAAACTCAGCCAAAAAAAAGGGGGGCAGTAAATCTCTCAAATTGATTTATTATTTAAAATCCCGAATCTCTCAAATATGTAAGCAGCCTCTATAAAAAGTGTCTTGAATGGTCGAAGGAACCAGTCATTGGTCCTTAACACAAAGTGCCTTGGACGATGGAAGGAATAGGTCCTTAGTCCTCAACACAAAGTGTCTTGAACAGTTGAAGGAGCCAGTCCTTGGTATTCAACACGAAGTGTCTTGGACGATGGAAGGAACAGGCCCTTGGTCCTCAACACAAAGTGTCTTGGACAGTTGAAGGAGTCAGTCCTTTGTCCTCAACACAAAGTGCCTTGGACAGTCGAAGGAGCCGGTCTTTGGTCCTTAACACAAAGTGTCTTAGATGATGGAAGGAGCAGGTCCTTGGTTCTCAACAAAAGGTGCATTGAATGGTGAAAAGTGACAGTCTTTGATCCTCAGTGTGTATGAAGGTTTGCAACTTTATGTTTGTTCATATGCATATATTTCCTGAACTCATAGAATAATTGCAACATAAAAAACTTAACCTCTACTCAAAGAAAATCTTGAATCTTGAAATCCTTGATTTGTTTCAAAGAATTGAAACCCTGCATTAAAAAAAAATGAAGAGTATTAGTTTCGACTTTGTTAAAAAAATAATAATAATAAATAATGACAATAATAATAACAATAATCAACCCTAAAAAAATGAGGTAAAAAAAAAAGAAATATGTTGAAAAGTTCCAATTCCAAATTGGTTCAGAAACCAGGAACTAAAAAAAAATAAATAAATAAAAATAAATAAATAAATAAATATATATATATATATATATATATAGTCAAATGGTGGGCAAAATTCAAAGAAACAAATTGTTGTCCAAAAGCAGTTCAATCATGGATTCAAGAACAAAGAAATTTAGGTGTACCTAAATTTTCAAAGAAAGAACAAGAAGATCAAGCAGATTTTTTGACTGAAAAACAAAGAATCATTGCAATGTTATCAAAATGTAAAGATCCTAAAGAATTATTAGAAATTTACGATCAAATTTCTAAACAAGGATCTTCAAAAAATGTTTCTGATCAAGAAGAAGAATCTCAATATTCTCAAGAGACTGACAATGGTGATGACTTAGTTGATCTAGGTGATGACTATGCCGAGTATCTTGCTCAAGAGAAGACTGCAAAAGCTTCAAAGAAAACTTCAAAATGACTATATGGACCTAGTTTTCTTGACGAATTAAGAAATTACAGGGTCTATCAAGCAAGAGAAATTCTCCTCAATCTTTGTCCAATTCAAAATTGTTGGTGCTACACCTGTCAAGATTCTCATCAACTTTGTGTAAGACATCAATATCTACTTTAATAAAGAAAGATTATCTTTATTAAAGGAAGTCAAAAATTGGAAACTTTTGACT